AATTATGAATCGAGTCATTATGTACCCTCATTGATAGGTCCTAGCAGTAAGGGGGATAAACATCTAACAACCCGAAACTTACTAGCAAAAGTCACCTCTACTATGTAAGGCCGGTATCAAATTTTCTCTTGGATTGTTTCCAACAGCGACTCGAATACAACACATTCAAAACTTACCAATAGGTAGTTAGATATAGTATTTCGAGGTTCACAACCTAGGGTAAAACATCATACAGCAAGCCACCCCAACTAGACCGACCGCCTCAAAACTAGGTGGCTTCACTATGCAGCAGATAAGCCCTGACCGGCTGCATCCGACGTCCTTTTCAAACGTATTAAGCCAATGCTCGAGTTTCAAAACAGGCGGGTATATTCCTACCTTATAAGTGTCACATATCTGCTACGTATAAACTACGCTCGTTACAATAAATCTACCCTTTACTCGAATCCAGTTCTCCATTCTTTCTGCGGATCTACTATGTAAAAGGCTAATGCTACAGATCTGTCAGGCTTCTGCAGGGTCAAAGTGTGTAAAACCCGCCGCGATGGTTACGGGAAGGAAACAAGAAAAGCCCACTGTCATATTGGCTCGTGGCGCAGTTGAGTTGTAGTGTCGTATGCACGCAGTTTGCGGTTAGCAACTCGCCAAGCACCGCTACCAGGGGACAAGATAGGTCGGAGAATTTCTAGCGGATCATCACGGGTACTAAAGAGCAACAAGCTCGGCAACGAGTTGAACGAAAACAATACATCTAGATACCTTTGTTACCAAGCAAACTATTCACATTCGCGAACGCCTTAGGAAAAACTGGTCGCATTCTTACAAAAAGGGCCTAGCCGTAGAGAGTTATTAAGTATCGAACGAGGATATGAATCCATTTCTCCCCACGTGCGTTCAGGGATAAAAACTTTTACAGCGGTCATAGCGTGCATCCAGGACCCAAAGTCCAGACTCCAGAGCAGCCCGAACTCTTGTCACCCAATATTGATTTGCTTCGCTTCTGCACCCCACCATTGGGAATGTCATCCAGGGGTTGCGGTACAGTTAACTACCTACTGAAACCCAACATCAATTTCTCATAAAGTACAGAATATGGGAAAATGAAATTGGCTACTACTACGTATAACGCTTACGAACAAATAAGAATAAGTGATACTACAATTATCCAAACGCCTTCTTCAACCCAGTAAACCATAAGATTTGCGTAGCGAAACGCGAAGCATCTCCGACATCTACCAGATCATGCAGATCCCGGCACATGTTGCGGGAAACCTAATACAAGATAAGTTTGAAAACGGTTCAGATCCAATCACATGATATACTTGCTTTTTTAGGTAGGTGGTTCATTGCCCTGCGCCGGTATCACTTGCGAAGATTGCGTCACATCGGGCACGCAATTGAGGCGGACGTATATGTCTAGGTACTGGTACTGGTACGATGGAGCACACCCACGAGAGCTCAGACAGACGGCATTTACCACCGATTGGCCAAGGACGTGATGTGCTAAGGCAACTTAATCTCATATCCCCTTTTTGACGGCTCATTGATCCCTAGGTCAGTGTGTTCGTCACTGCGCGAGGCGATCGTGCACCGACCAGTCACAATAACGTCAGCGGAGTATATGGAGCATATGGGAGGTAGTACCTACCCATATCGGCCCTATTGCTGAACTCGATGGGATGAAGGGATTATCTACGGTCTTCCGAAGTACGGCATACTAGCATGAGGGTATCAGGACTTTTTAATGTACAGGTCACGGGCTGTAGAGATTGGGAGACGGAATTCTAAAACCACGGGTTTTATACTTGGAGATCTACCACCAACGGCAGTGGCACAAGTCACACGCCTCTTCCACGTAAGGAGAATAAGCTAATTATTCATAGGTGTCCCTTGAATTCGGGGCCAACTGATATCCATTCCTTTACAACTCATCACTAGAAAATAGGGGACGTAACTTCTTCGCAAGTACATATGCCGACACTTCTCCTATATCTTACATAATTCACAGGCAACAGGGAGGATAGTAGTGAGATAACAGTATCATAAAACATTAGTATACCTATGGTATCATAGGCACAAACTTTATTGTCACGAAGCGAAACTAAATAGCGTGGCAATAACTTCGTTATTCCATAAGGAACCTTTGACCTAGCTATGGCGCATGTGGCCACGCATATTGAAGTTTTTATTCGTCCAAGATGTCAATTGAGGATCTTGCCACGCACGACAACCAAAAGACGCGAAATTCCTACCTATTAGTAGGTAAACCTCCTCATAAGGCGTGGTCGGCAAATCCAGTCAACTGAAAACTACCCCTGTTGCCTGAAATAGGCTAATAGAGTCTGCTGCTGCCCTTAGTGGAAAGCGATGAGTCGGTTTGGGTCCATAATATTCTGGGCGGCCCTCTGTACGTTGTTGAACTTTATGTACCCGCAACACTCGCTCTCGAGATGATTCATAAGAGCAGCTAGCGATACGAACTCGCGGCCACAGCCTAACCGGTTGGGACAGTGGTAAAGGTTTTGCTGGTCTATAACATACGATAAGGTGTCAGTGATAACCACATTACTTAGAAGCAGTCTCTGGAAAGATCGGTTTGAAAACTTACGAGCAGGGGAGCTGAGGTGCTGGTCTAGAGAAGGAAGCGAGCCAAACTCGCGATGGCAGATATAGCACTCAAAGGCATATCCATTCCACGCCTCCATCGTGGCTTCATACTTGGGAGAACCGTTCCACTCGATTAGCTTCTTGGAGATGAGGCCCTTTGTATCTTTGAATCTGACAAGCCTATATACTTCATCTCGGTTTAGGAACGGGGCTTTTGGGCAGCCGCCTCCTTCTAGATGGTGCGAGAGACCAGTGGCGGATGTGTAACTCTTCGCGCAGAAAGGGCACTTCATACAGTAGCCTCGATGGACGCGTGAGTTAAGATGCTAGGTACCAGATATCCCATGTCAGTTATTCGAATTTGAACGGGGACACAAGCACGCCTTCGGGCCAAAAACGGGCGCCCGACAATGAATCAGCCAACTCACCATCTTGATACTGTTGTGATTGTTAAACTGTCGGCTGCAATCACTGCAGTAATGGTGATCCTCTATTTCATGCTCTTTCACCCCTTCATCGGTCGGATAGGTTTCATCGCAAATGCTACATCCATAATACCAATGATTCTTCGAATTCATATGATTGACGACGGCGCTGCGAGAGTTAAAATAGAGAGAGCACCTATCACATTCGTGCTCCGGTATGAAATGATCTAGTGCCTCAATGTGCTGCTCTCGACCTCGGAAAGTGGTGAATTCACGCCAGCATGTTCCGCACGTCCACGACATCTTGTTAATACGTGTGGCCGCCAGCAGCCTGGATGACTATGAGTATTGAGAAGTTCGTTTGTAGGCGTGGAGATAAGAATGGTGGAAAAGCCAAGCAATCGGTAGAAGTGGCGTTAGGTATCAGGTCCCAAGAGATACCTTGGGGTGCCTAGGGAATTTTAGGACGATGTATAAAAACCACCTGCACCAAAAGTACGCACTAAATTCACAGTTTGCCGGCGAGTCGGCAACCTTGAGTCTTAAGTTTGATAGAAAAGAATTCGGGTGCATTAAAGGAGAAGACGAACGGTGCATTCATCCTCAAAGAGGTCAGGTTCGCGTTTGGTTGCCTACCAAAATGAGGTGAGAACGCAAGGCGTTTATGACCTTGTTGTATCTGCATGTTTCCGTGGTAATGCACGTCCCGTAGCAACACCTTTAAGATATGATTCGTTATTATTCCGTCGTACCCCTCAGTACACCCTCTAGATTCTGCTTAGCCAACTCTGTTCAATATAGCTGATCATTGGGTATAAAATCATGTTGATTAATTCCCTTAAATTCGCCAATGCTCGGATTCCCCTTTACACATAAGTATTTCCTATCTGTAATCATAATTGTTCTTTCTTCAATAGACTCTGCACATAGTTCTTCAGCTGACTTTGCCTTTAAGGTATGAAATGGATACAAAATAAACGTAATATATTCAACTAAGACTAAAGGATTTCAATGAATTCAGCTACAGAGTTGCGCAGAAAGCTATAGGAGGTTATCTCTATGTCAGGTACAGCCTTGCACAAGCCACTATCTGGCAGAGGGGAGGCTGTGTGATAGAAGTTAGGTAGATTATGAGTTAGGGCCTCATAGTCTGAGCATGGGGATTACCTATACGGATAAAGTAATAAACATATTTTCGGGACCGAGGCTATCCATATAGACTTTTCAAATAGTGTTTACCTACTGGAGTCTGAGAAGATATTTTAGACGGGCACATTGAAAGTCCGACAATTAGCTCGATGGTGGCCCAATACTTGGAATACATAAAGTGGGAGGTTTGGAAGACAAGTTAGAAGGGACAAGGGTTATCAATTTTATCAATACAGCTTCTTAGCAGCGACCTGGCTGCATTCACCCACGACGGACTGACCCGTAACTACTACTCACTCTTTTTTGTGACATCCCTCTTTGACACTCTAGCCATTGAAAGAAACACTGGAACTTAGTTGTAAGGATGACTTATAAGGATGACTGGGACAGCACTCATAACAACTAAGACCATTGGTGATTGTCTTTATAACTGGGACGTTAAAGGGCAATCTGGAGTAGTCATTCAGTCGAGATATGTTAATAGCTTCTTCTATTCTTCTTGTTTCGTGATTGGGGGAGACAGCCTGTTCCAGCTTTGGCTCGACTCTTGGCAGATATCAAAAAAAAAAAAAAAAAAAAAAAAAACCCACTTTACACCAACGCAACATTCAAGAATCAGAGTATAAGACACTCCGCCTGGTATATAATTGCTAAACCTAAAATTAAGAAGAACTTGTAATAATTCCAGGCTAGAAAACGAGCATTGGAAATATCCGAATATCTCTCACAAGGCCCGTATGCGCTAGTACATCGTCTATTATTCTTGTCAACGCTTAGCTTATAAACACAAATTCCAAGCGCTGAGCATTGACCACATAGGGTGGTATAGTATAGTGGATAGTACAACACGTTGTGGATGTGCAAGTATACTGATACCGTGTAGACCTGGGTTCGATTCCCAGTACCGCCAATTTTTTGTTGAATTTTTATCTTTCCATTAACATAAAAATCTTCGCGATATGGAAGGACGGGGTGATCAGTATAATAATAGTTTGTATACTCTTCCTATTGTCGAGACTTAAACAGGGTTTTAAACCCGACCCACCAAACCCAACCCTCGCATGCGGTTTGGCTGATCTGTTCCCTGGGTTAATCTTAAAAAGCCGTTGGATCTCTTTTTATGTCGATACTACTGATGCTATAAAGCTATAAGATAAAGCATGTACCATCGTTAAATTTTAGAGTAAGTTTCGAACAAATAGTAATAAGCTTTTATAAGCCTTAAATAACAATAATTGTAGTTACCTAGGTAGCTTTAGATTAGAACGGCTTGCTGGTCAGTCATTTCTTCCCCAGATTAAAGACTCTTTTGTACTTTGTGAGATTGGCTGTATTAGATAGTTCGGAGGCAATCGTCGCCAATTTTAAACGGAGAATATCTCTCAGGGACCCGAACAGGGGCCAAAAATCTGACCCATAAGGCCAAATCTCGCTACCAGCTGTTTCTGCACAGATCCATCTCGGAAAATAGCTTAACTAGCTACTTTATTATTATCCTAATGGTTAATCTTAAGTACAAGCCATATTTAATGGAGAGACCATTAAACATTGGGTTTTTATACGTCGTGACCATCAGATTAGTAGTGGTCTGTGAAGCGCTGGGTTTGGCTACTGTTTGGCTCTGAGAGAAAGAAGGCACTAATCAAACAATAAAATGAACATATTAATTAGTAAATTATATATAATACAATCAAGATCGCAAAGCAAAGCCGGCTATAATCTGTCTTCAACCACTCGTTCAGGATAGTCCTTATTCCATCCTGATGATTCCACCCGGTCCTCGACGCTTCGGTCGATTGTTACGACAGTGGTCTTGGTAATCCCGTTCGCCTTCTGCGTTAATATGCTCTCCTCGCTGATATTATCCGCCAAAGTATTCGGGACAGCTCCGCGTCGAGCGTCGACCTCTGTCCTCGTTTGGGAGTGTAAGAATTTCGATCCCCTACCGCCTGTGCCTTGAGCGTAATCGCGGAGGTTATATGTGTCCTTTTTGCGGGAGGATCCGTATCGGAGGGAGCTGTCGAATATCGTCTTGAACATTGGTTTTATGCATGGCAGACACGCTGCGATAATTCCTGTGTTTGTTTCGGTCCTGGGACGGAAACGCATGTTAGTCTTATATTATGAGAGTATTCAAAGCTTGTAACTTACGCAATCCATATGGTCAAGTTCGCCGAGTCCCACAGAAAGTCGCCCGACTTTCCATAATTAGTAATAAAAGCAGCTTTAATAATCGCTGCTGCGCAAGCACTTCACTGATATTAGAATGTAGGCTAGCGGTCAATGATGGTGGAAGACTTACAATATACCGAGGCCAAGAACACAAATAAGTGAAGCCTTGGTACGGGAGTTAATCTGAACATTCCAAAGCATTGGTATCGGGAGTAAAGCAAAGAATAAATCTGTGACGATATTGACGGCTTGATTTGTAAGTTAGTATGATTCCCTTTATATTTGTGAAGATTAAAAAACGACGAAAGGGTTTGGAAGACTGACCTGAGTTGGCGTAACTCAACCCCTGAAGAGTAGGCTGTGACAAGCACGTCGTCTCAATGCGGTTATCCCAAAGGACTGCCAAATTTTTGCATTGCAGTACTAAGGTCATAAAGCAAACGAGAGTGTACACCACGAGAAATACCATGGTGCCTTGTAGGACTCGTCTGTAAAAGAGAGACGGGCTAATGCGGAACAAGAAAAATCCCACTGAACACTTCACCATCGGAATGGCCCACATGTAAATCGGCTGTGATATAAAATTCAGCTTGAGGCCGAACCTATTCACATCGGCGTCGAGATATGCAGCATGGCGACCTGCACCGTAGTGAACCTCGGCAACAATAATTGCCATTCCGACAAGAGACAGTACCATAGATGCGAGCATAATATAGTCCTAGAGTAAATCAGCATGACGATGCTTTAGATAGGTAGGTAGTCCATCATTTACTACGTACGTCTATTCCCATGCTCCGAATCATTCGTAGACGGACATACATCCTTGCGCAAACGACGATCAGCGCAGCTAGAGTCGTCGATACCACTGCCCCGGCGATCTGGGGACCGCGATTTTCATCAGGCTGGCCCGCACCGGGTAGGGGAAGTATAGCGGCCGACATAGTCGAAGTTGGGAGTTAGTTTCCCAGCAGAAAAGTCGGTCAAAAATTCATGCAAACTTGGACATAAACTATTTACTTCGCGGCTTTCTTTAAGTGTATATATGGATTATCTATCTACCTAGGTAACCTATAGTATTGTTTTCTAAGGCACGTTTATTCTGGCTTATCATCCAATCCGGGTCTGAAGTCTAGAATCGCTAGAGTGCGCGAGCGTCTTTCTGTTGCAGGAAGGAGCCCAAGCATTGCTCAGACCTCTTGACAGGGACCTGGGGCCGATAGCATAGTCACTATGTAACTATAGCGTGGATCCGGGGAGTTCGGATTGGAACTAAGCCTCGGCGCCGGCCCCTTGAATACTGGGGCACTAAAACGACGGCGTGTGTACGGCAAAGGAACTAACACAAACGACCCTCGCTCACCAACAGCTAGCGCCAAGACGCCCGCATTATATATCATGCTCCAACAGTGATTGATATATCTGCGTAGATTATACGCACGTAAAGCCTCCCTGATTCCGATAGGGCCCTGCAGAGCCGTGGCGAGTTGCATTTTGCCCTGCAACCTCGTGTGGCACCTAATCTTATTATGGCATGATACGCTGTTTGCCTTCACGACGACGGCATTATATCTCATCTAAGAAGGCCTTATGGTGTTGAGGTTGTATTATAGCGGTCGGATGAAGATTCGCTACTTATCAAACTCCCTCACAAAGTAAAGATATCATTTAATGAGCATACAATCGTTGCCATAATCGTTATCTGAAATTTGTCAATTTTGACATTTTAGATGCGCACTTCAAGATTGAAAGCGGGTTTGGCAGAAGCATCACCTGGTTCGGGCTAACCTCAAATATATTAGTAGATATATGAAGACTTTTACGGCCCGAGTTGGTGTTGGCTTTATCAAGCTTTGACGTACATTCGGCCTAGGCCGCTAATGGTAAGTGAGTCCGGAGGGCACTAGGTAGTAAGGCTACGGGAATATTTATCGGACTAATTCCACGGTATTGGGTTTAAAGCATCAGGGCACACGGGATTTATCCCCAATTCGATTGGCTTATATCAAAGGATGGAAAGGTCAGATCTCGTCTGGCGTACTTCCGTCTTCGCAACACAATGGCATATTCCGCCAATAACATGAAAGCTAAGGCAGGTCTGCAGTAATCTAGACCATTTCACGTTAAGATCAAATCATATTCTGATATACCTGCTTAACCGAAACGCATTAAGTCAACCTCTTAAAGGAAAAGCCGTTGGTCTTTTTACAAATGCGACGGAGCGGTTCTTGATAAAAGGGGGCCAAGGAATATCTATATAATTGTAGATCTCTGCTCACGATCGAAGATCATTTTAGTCTGTGTCCAGCGTGATCGCTTCCAAGTAGATCATAAAATTAATTGTCCGTGTTTAATACTTAATACGTATCCGATTACCTAGAGATTAACTATTTCTAATCTCCTGTTCATCAGCTGGACTCCCATACCTCCCTCCACCCAACATGCAAATTCGTCGCTTTACGTCCGCTCTACTGCTCGCCAGAGCTGTAGTGGCAGCCCCGACCACTGGCGCAACCTGCGGTTCCCTCGCGGAGTTAGAAAGCATTATCAAACAGGCTATTTCAACGCAGGAAGATATCCTAGACGGCAAAACCACTGCGGCTGAGAAAAGGGGACAGACGTGCACTCGTGATAACCTCACCGTACGTCGCCCATGGTATGTGAACTAGCAATTCATCTCAGCCATTTCGAAGTTAATTATTTTTATCTAGGGGCTCATTGAAGAAAGAAGAGCGGAAGGCTTATTCTGATGCTGTACTTGTATGTACTACGGACCCTTTTCTCTTCTTGTTTTTGGGCAGGCTCAGGGGGTGGGTTATTAAAACCAACCCAGCCGACCCGAAGAGGCCCCCGCATCCAGGATCGATCAAACGTTGTTTGATAGATCGCTAAAAGTGTTTACATTCTAACACTAACTCTTTCGTTAATTTTAGTGTTTACAATCGTTGCCGGCAAAGACTCCTGCTAGCGTGGCCCCTGGCGCTAAGTCGCGGTACGACGACTTCGTAGCTACTCACATCATCCAGACTCAAAAAATCCACTACACCGTGAGTTACTCCACTTCCCGAGCGGGAGCTAGTTGAACGGCTTCACTAATACTAGTCGGCGATCTATTAGGGAACATTCTTAGCTTGGCATCGATGGTTCGTGTATAATTTCGAGCAGGCACTTAAAAATGAGTGCGGATACACTGGGTCCCAACCGTAAGTAAACAAAACCCTCGCTGTTAAGTCACGAATATTCCGCTAACACGTAACTATCACCTAGGTACTGGAACTGGGCTTTATATGCTAATGATCCGGCCTCGTCGCCGATCTTCGACGGCAGCGAGTACAGCATGTCCGGAAACGGTGCGCCCGTCCCCAACAAGGGCCCCATAACCCTGACCCTGGGCGACTTCGCGCCGATCTTACTACCTCCCGGCACGGGAGGAGGGTGCGTGACCTCGGGTCCGTTCAAGGACATGAAGGTGAACCTGGGGCCCGTAAGCCTGCCTCTGAACAACGGGACGGTGGTGACGGGCACCGGGCTCGAGTACAACCCACGATGCCTGACGCGTGACATCTCGGCGGGCGTGAACTCGCGGTACGCGAACGCGACCTCGGTCGTCGACCTGATCCGCAAGAACGATAATATCGGCGACTTCCAGATGGTCATGCAGGGCGTGCCCGGGTCCGGCTCCATCGGCGTCCACGGCGGCGGCCACTACACCCTCGGCGGCGACCCGGCCGACGACGTGTT